ATTTTCTTGGCTTTCCTTGAAAGATTTGTTGATTTCTTGCATTTTTTGGTTTGTTTTTTCTTCCTTTTCTTTAAGGGATTTTTCTCATATCCTCTTTGAGGGCCTCTATAATTTTCATGAAGTTGTTTTTAAGGTCATTCTCTTCTGGTTCATCTGCATTGGGATGTTCAGGTCTTGCAGGTGTAGAGTCCCTAGATTCTGTTGGTACTATATAAGTCTTTCTGTTGTTGGCTATGTTCTTATGCTGTTGTCTTCCCATCCTATCTCTTCTTCCAGTCAGTATTGGTGGTGGTCTCTTCTTCTCCTCTCAACTGGAGGGTGTAGGGGCAAGACCAGAATGGCTGCAGATGAAACTGGCTGCTTTGTTCTGCCTCCAGGTCTCTCTTCAGGGTTTGGTGGTGGGAATGGTCTGGGGGCTGTAGGCCAGGGAGTTAGGAGAGGGGCAGGTGGCAAGAAACCCTTTCTTGAGGAGAGCAAGATAAGAGATACCATAATAGAGGGAGACATTATAGGTTTAAAGAGAAATCAGGCACTAGGAAAATGTCTGGAGATCTACAACGATAACACCAACTAACAATCTAAGCAGCAGAGGAGAGACTACCATAAATGCCTTCCGCTGATAATGAGATTGATGACTAATTTATATGCCATCCTTTAGCCTTCATCCAGCAGCTGGTGGAAGTAGAAGCAGACACCCACAGCTAAATACTGAACTGAACTCTGGAATCTAGTTGCAGAGAAGAAAGAGTGATGAGCAAAGGGGTCCAGACCAGGCTGGTGAAGCCCACAGAAACAGCTGACTTGAACAAGGGGGAGCTCTTGGTCCCCAGACTGATAGCTGGGAAACCAGCATGGGACTGATCTAGACCCCATGAACGTTGGTGTCAGTGAGGAGTCCTCGGAAATCTATGGCACCTCTTGTAGTAGCCAGTACTTATCCTTAGCATAGGTGTAGACTTTGGGAGCCCATTCCACATAGAGTGATACTTCCTGAACCTAGACACATGGGGGGTGGGGTGGGCCTAGGCCCTATCCCAAAGGATATGACGGACTCTGAAGACCCCGTATGGAAGGCCTCACCCTCCCTGGGGAGCAGAATGGGTATGGGATAGGTAGGGTGTTAGTTCGGAGGGGGCAGGGGAGGAGGGCAGGGAGAGGGAACTGGGATTGACATGTAAAACAATCTTGTTTCTAATTCAAATAAAAAAGAAGAGAGAAAAAAAAAGAAAAACCAAAACAAAACAAACAAAAACTACTTCTGTCTAATTACTTGTAACTTTTATTACAAACACATGAAATATGCAATACTTACAGCATTTTTATTTTGTAAATGCAACGCTTTAAAACACACAAAGCACCATAGTTAGAAATAATTTACAGATACTTGGTAGAGAAATGGGGAGATTCTGCCTATATCACATCTCAATGATGGAGTCATCAGGTGGGATCACTGAAACATGATCATGGAATCATTTTTTTTTGTTAGTTAGCTGGTTGATTTCCCTTTTCTTTTTATAAGGTTGTGGTTAAATTCCAAATTTGTCACAAGTTTATTTTAAAGCATCCATGTGAAACACTCTTCTCCCAACTTTTAGTTTGTATGTTATTTCAGTTAGAAAAGTGGCTTACTTTCATGGCATGGCTAATGACATGTTGGTGGTGTGTGTATGGAAGAAGAAGATGTACTGTGGGCCAGAGCAGTGATGCTTAGTGATTACTAGCTCATGGTGTGGGGTTTGGTTGGCCTTTCTTGTTAAGAAATATTTTGTTTCTTTAGATCACATGCTTTATGTGGGAAGGAGGCATTACCTAGATATGGTAGCTAATTGCAAGTCTTAGCAATGCTACAAGTAAAAAATCTGTCTTCTAATTGAAGACACCCTTATCTTTAAAATAAGTATATGCTGGAGGTATGGTGGTAGTGAGTAGACCACTTGCCTAGAGTAGGTGAGGCAAAACTAGAACATAGAGTTAATACAATAAAAATCTAAACAGATCATCTGCCAAGTTATTTGCTGATTCTCATTTCCTGCAACCCCTCTAATATAGAGTCACATGACACACAGAGCCTGTCACACTCAGAAGACTTTTCTTTATTGTTATAATCATGTTGAATAAGATATATCGATCTCCCTATCCCACCACACCCCTCGCTGTCCTGTAGTGCTGGAGAATGAACCCAAGGTTTCTGCATACGAGGAAGGCCCTCTACCATGGAGCTATATTCTAAGCTCATTCCACCCTCGCCTAGCCCCAGGGATTGAACCTACAGCCTTGCACAAGCTGGGCAAGCATGAATGTCTCTTTCAGTGGACTGCAATCTGCCTTTCAGTAGCCACAGTGCTGTGACCTGTAGTGTAGTACATAAGTAAGTGCATCGAGGAGGCTGAGGGTGTAGCAGTGAGCTAATACACAGAGTGCACACCGATCTTGGGATCTAAACACTTCAGGCCAATGTTTGTTTTCACATATTTAATAGAATAAGTGTCAGAGCATATTGTGGCACCAAATGACAATCTTATGCAAAAAGTATGTAACATTACTTGCAATTCATGAGATAGGCTGAGTTAATTAAGAGAGCATCAAGGAAACATATGCCCATAAGTTTATCTCTAGCAGCAATGTGTTTATTTCTGTGCCTGGCATGAAAATACATATTGAATTAATAGATAGTTGAAAATTAGTGATACAAACCAATAATAAGGTAAACAATTATGAAATAGGGATGGATTTGAATGGACACTTTAGTTGAAAAAGTGTTGAATGTCAAATGGGCACTTGAGAAGATGATCAACTTCACTGGTCTGTAGAAAAATGCAAATTTAAACCACAAGGAACTACCACGCATTTGTTAGAATAGCTAAAATAAATGGAACTGACACTACCCAGTGCTGGTGAGAGTGTGAGGTGACTAGAATTCTCACATGTTGATGTGGAATGGCCCATCTTGCCTTAGGTTGCCAGTATCTACTAATAAGTGTGCACTTGGCATAGATCCTAATACTCATTCTTGGAAGTTTACCAAATAAAAATGAAAACATAGGTGCATGTACATGCATGAAACCTGTACTCAGATGTTGTTGAAGGCTCTGTTTACAGTATGAAAAATGAAGATAACCCCAACAATCATTTACTTGTGGCAAGACAATCAAATGCCTAAGCTTTAGTAAATCTAATACAGTGAAGTAATATTCAGCAAGTAAGAGGAGAAAGCTGTTATTTTATTTGAGAAAGTAGATGAATCTGAAATACACTATGCTGATGTGAAAAAGCCAGACTCAAACATCTTTTTGGTCCCATTTATAGGACACTCTAGGAAGGAAAAGCTAGCAAACAGATTCAGAAAGGCATCTAGGAGAAGAGTTGGAGAGATGCAATTGACTACAAAGAGGGAGAGTGTGTTAGAATGATAGAAATATTCTGCATCTAGATTGTGGTAGTGGTTAACAAACACAAATGCTCTATGTATAGAACTATGTAAACAATATTTTAATAAACCTGACTAAGAGAACTATGTAAACAATATTTTAATAAACCTAAGAGAACAAGGGAAGAAGTATATAATGAAGTTTTTACTTTTCTTTTTTTCATTTAGTACATGAACAAGGAAATTGTTAAGTTGTACTTTGAGAATCAGGGATGGAAGAGGGTAGTTGAGAATGAAGGCAAAATTCAATGATATATGATAGGAAGATGTCTTAAATGAAACTTATTTTGTATGCTAGCTAGAGAGAGATACACAGAGATAGGTGGATGTATGTATGTATGTATGGGTGGGTGGGTGGGTGGATGGATGGATATCAGGATGAGTCTGTACCTTGCTGAGGAACCAGAGAACCTCAGGAGTTATGGTTATTTCTTGTTCTTTTTCCTAAATGCGTGCCATGTTACATGGATAAGGAGGAACTTAAGTTTTTTTTTTTTTAAATCTTTTCACAAATGTTTGCTTAAAAAGAAACTGTGATTCAGGCTTTTGAGTTTCTCATGGCTGGGTCTCTGTTTTGTGTGTATCATAATTTTCAGCACCAGCCACTTATTAGGTGGTATCTGCTAGCTAACACTGGCAGACACTCAGCTCTAAGCACCTTGGATGCGGTTAATAGATGCTGCCTTGGTGCAGTTGCTCTGAGAATCAGAAGAGGGCATGCTTCTTTAAGTGCCTGCATGGCCTGCATGTGCTGAGTTAATGCAGACTGTTTTATTAACAATTAAAAAACTAAGTATAGCAATAAACAGTTGGAATTCAGTTTCAGAAAACAGTCCATAGGCATGCACTGGTGAGGTCTACAGGAGTGATCTATTGACTTACAGTTAGGTTTTCCTCAGTGCCTTCTTTTTGTCTGATGGGGAGAATTTGGTGTTTAGGAAGAAGCCTTATGTAAAGCATTGATGATATCAGCCATGAAATGTAACAAATCGGAGGGTGGGAGATGAATCCATCTAAGGACTCTGAAGAAGTGTATTGGTTCACTGTGTGCACATGATTACAGGCACATTGTACATTCACTAGCAATTTACCCTCATTTGCCATACACTTTTGTGCCATGTAACAGGAAGCCTTGAACCTCATGAAAACAGTTACAAAGTCCCTGATACCAGTGATAAAGGTTTTAGCCATGATTGTAACATGCTTTATATACATGCACACAGTTAAAAAGATTCCCATTTGGCTCTTGGATACTAGTGTCATATATCATTCATGGATACTTTATGTTGATATCAATAAATATTTGTGTCTTTATTTGAAAACTCTTCTCAGGATATTAGGAAATTATAAATTAGTTCTGCTAGCAATATGGCTGTAGCCAGTTGGCTTTAATTCTTAATTTCTTGCAAAAGCAGCCAATAAGATCAGCTTTGCTGTTGTTCTTGTGTTGCTGGAATAATAGTTTAGGAAAGGTTGATCTGCTCTGGAGTTCTGAGCACATATAAGACAGTGTTTGCTCACATCCTCGTTGTCAAGAAGTGAGTGCACTGATAAATTGTTATTGTTTCTCCAGGGAGAGTCACACCAGGGCAGCTCATGTCCTATATTCAGCTCTTCAAGAATAACCTCAAAGCTCTTACAAATCACTGTGGGCTCCTACAGCTTGGGATGGCCACAGTTCAAACCCTGAAGCATCCACAGACTGCCAAGTGGGATAACTTCCTGGCTTTTGAAAGGCTCCTTCTACAGGTATGTTGCTATACGAACTTATTAATATATTACCTATTGAAGTTTTGACTTCCAGGAAAACACTTTGATATCTACTATTATCTGAGTAATCATATTGTTGACCTGTGCAGTTGTGGTTTGAATGAGAATGTTCCACAGAGGGTCAGGTATTGGAGTACTTGGTCCCTGGTTGGTAGTGTTGTTTGGATAGGTTTAGGACATATGACCTTGATAGAAGTGCTCTGATTCTCTATTCAGGGATATTGTGGCCCCTAAAATCTGGCCAGATCCCTTTTGATGCTAGTAACCTGAGTGGCTGCATCTCTCTTCCTCAGAACCTCCCTCTATTACTAGATGTCCTCTTCACCACCATGTTTATGCACATCAACACCTTCCTCACTTTGCTCATGGTCCAACACCCAGCACTGGGATGTTCCTGTTTCAGTCCTCCACATGGATGTCCCTTCATCCCCCTACCCATGCTAGGTCTAATCCCTGTGCCCAGTTGATCTCCTTAACATGTTGTGGCTCTAACAGTATGCCCTGGGCTAGCATTGTCTTTCCTGAGGGACGTGTCTTCACCACATTACTAACTCTAAGCCACTGGGGCAGCCTCTCTTGTACTCCCTGCTATACCATGGGGGCAGACTCTGCTCCTACACATCAGTCATGTCTGCTAAGGTTAGCCTCAGGCTTCAAAAGGAATTGAAGTATCTCAAAATAAGATTTGAAAGAGGTTTTCTCGAACTCAGGATAATAATCATCTGTCAACTTACTACAGGCTCCCAAGGAAGCTTTAGAAAATGTCTGTTTTATGTCATCTCATTCATAATAAACTATTTGAGTCCTTCATTGCATATTAGACTGTTAGATTGTTAGATATGGAGGTGGCATCAGTGTGCTTCTTCAACTGGAAAATGAACAGACAAAGAAGAATAAAACATTGAACTTATCAAAGCTCTACTATGTTTCTAGTTGCATATTGCTCTGGTTGGTGCTATGTCTCAGGGTTTTAGCCTGGGCAGGTCTGTAAACTAGCCATTGTAATTGCTTTTTGTTTATGAACATTCTTACTTTATATAGCACACACAAACCCATTAGTGTAACAAGTCATAATATATGTTCAGTGTCCTTTTACAGACTTTGGTTAGAAAGTGGAGCATTTGAGTTTATCTTGAGCACAAGGGCAACATTAGCTTTCCCCAAAGGTTTGAGAAGTCTCAGCTGGAGCTGAGAGTTGTTTACTTCTTTGGAGACATGTTTCCACCACTGCTTAGCAGGCCTCCATCCCTGCAACCTCAGTGTTGACTTTATGGCCTAAGTCACAGAATAGAAAACCCTGGGGAAGAGAAAGACTCCCAACTTGGAAAAGGGCCTCATGGCACTCACTCTCCCCACTTATTGAAATCAGAGTCTGCTGTGAAGATGTCAGCTCAGGCTCTGGAATACAAATCTACTGAACCAAGCTTTTAATTAAGAAACAAACTCTCTGGGGGAAAAATCTCATATTTACCCACAGTAATTATATTTTTAAAAATTGGAGAAAAAGGTCTTCATAACACTTTCTCTCCTTCTTATCCCTGGGGTCCACAGCAGTGTTTTATATATTGAGCATATGTATGGTAATTGTCAAATAATTCTGTTTACAAACAGACAGATTGAAGCCAAACACATAGAGACTTGTAAAGCTAACCATGGATGTGATCACAAAGCAACTTCCTTTTCTTATCAAATTGTATTATTTTAAATTATTTATTTTCAGTTTACAACTGGGACATTGCTTTTATAAAATTACTTTATTATTTTATTTTCTATGTGTGGTGGGTTTTTTGTTTTTTGTTTTTGATTTTGTTTTTGTTTTTGTTTTTGCCTTCATATACGTGCCCATGGAATTGAGAAGAGGGTGTCGGGTCTCCTGGAGTTGAAGTTATACATGGTTTGTTGGTGCTGGGAATCGAACCCCAGTCATGCGAAGGAGCAGCCAGTGCTCTTAACTTCTGAGCCACTCTAGCACCCACACTGATTTTTTTATGTGTTAAATTTAGGTTTAACTGATGTATAATAACCAAAAAATGTACATATGCATAGAATAACATGTTTGACATGTGTACATTGTATAGTGTTCAGCTCAGATTAAATGTAACTCTGACATTGTTTTTCATGATAAAACTTGGCAGGTCCTTCAACAGTTTCTTTGAAATCTGCCCCTGCTGCTGCTGTTATGTAGAGCAGCTACACTGTGCAGCAGCAGCAGCAGCAGCAGCAGCAGCAGCAGCAGCAGCAGCAGCAGCAGCAGCAGCAGCAGCAGCAGCAGCAGCAGCAGCAGCAGCAGCAGCAGCAGCAGCAGCAGCAGCAGCAGCAGCAGCAGCAGCAGCAGCAGCAGCAGAGGCGGCAGCAGCAGCAGCAGCAGCAGCAGCAGCAGCAGCAGCAGCACACTAGAACTGTTGAGTTAGTCTCTTAAAGCAAAATCTACATTTATTTAGCTTAGCATGAAGGATGTGGAATTTTCCATTTTTATAGTATAGCAAGAAAGTTTAGATAAGAAAGTAACACTGAAATACAAATGCAGTATCTTCTTCGTGTTGTTTTAGGACTGAATGAAATTATTGGCACACATCACTAAGCTCAGTGTTGGGTATACAGCAAGTGCTCAACAAGTAGGAATCATTGTCATTTGTTCTTTCAGATGAGCAAAATGTTCAAAATGTCAATTTATCTTATGCAAGTAATGCCTTTAATATATTCTCCCCTGCACTTTGTTTCCTAAATTAAAATTTATTAAAGACAACTGAGTGCCACTTAAAAAAATTGTATTTTAAAAGTTACTTTTTGATAACACTCAGCAGTACTTTCCTTTAAATCTGCAGTATATAGCTGATGTTTTTATACTAATTGTCACCGGAAAAAGCTTTTATTGGGTGTAATAAAATTTACGGTGGTTATAAAATGCTAGCAAGCTATGGAGTAGAGGAAGCAGCTGTGTTTATACTTCCTATAGCACACACTTTGTAAATATACATATGTACATATATATTATTATCCTTCTTTTGCTGTTGCTTTATATAAACCATCTAACTTGGAAATAGGTTTTAAATGAAAAACTAAACGAATTATAAATCAATTTAAGTTTGCACAGGTATAATATTGCTGTAGTTTAAATTTTATCTGTCTTTGTAATCAAAGAAAAATAAGCATATGCATTTTAAAGTTGCTAAAGTAGTTTTTTAAGGGTAAGATTTGTTTTTTTTATCTATTAAATTTTAGATTACCTTTCCAAAACAAATTTACATTTAGTAAGCTAAATAGTAGTATGTCTGCTAGTCCTGTAACATTTGTGGCTTTACCATCTGAATTCCCTGATGCTTGTATTAGCTTTCAAACTGCAAGTCTTGGCTGGGAAATATAATGGTCATTATCGAACTGTTCCTGATTGGCCATCGCCTTGGGAGGTCCTGTTTTATTATCCTTGTTTTCAGCCATTTATAATAATTAAGAATGAGTTTTTCTGGGAAGACGGTCCATCCGTCTGTTTTTCTTTGGCCAGTGGCCATGACAGTGAAGTCATTAGTACCACAGCACTGTTGCCATTTGCAAACTTTGATGATAATATTTGAATAAAGACTGAGCAAAGGAGAAAACTATGATCCCTTAACTCAGGCCTGGGTGCTGTTCCTGAGAGGGAGGGATTCCTATAGGAATTTTTTTCTGAAGACAGTTGAAGAGTGTGCTTTTCACAAAAATAATCCCAGGGCTGGAGAGATGGCTCAGCAGGTGAGAACACATAACTGCTCTTTTGGGGGATCCAGGTTCTAGCCCAGTACCCACATGGAAGCTCACAACTGTCTGTATCTCCAGTATCCTAGGGGATTTGACACTCTCTTCTGGCCCCCACAGGCATTGCATTGCATGTTGTGTGCAGACATACATGCAGGCAGAACACCCACACACATAAAGATAGTACATAAATAAAATGTTTTTTAAAAAGAAAGAAAATAATCCCAGAGAGAAGCAGCGAAGATGCCAACCCCTCTCCCCTCCATCCCCATGAGGTTTCCTAGTGTCAGGTAAATTTGGCTGACCCACTGGATTTAGTCCCACCTTTTCCTCTGGGAACAGCAGTGCTTCCTGCTCCTCTCCAAGATGAGGATCTGCTCTCATGCATGGCCAGCTGCTTCCTTCTCTCTTCTTTGGATCCAGATGTCTGTGTTCAGCTGCTGCCTTGGTTGCCTAAGTTCCAGTACTATAGTACCAAGAGCACTGGGCTTCTAGCTTTGACCTTGTGCCTCCAAGTTTGGTCCTTAACTGTGCATTCATACAGTGTATACATGTGTCTTCATGTTACATGGAATTTACTTATTCAGACTGATAGTGTTTAAGATGTTTTCAAGGCCCTGATGAATAGTATTAGCAATTAAATAGATCTAGGTGGCTTAACATATGGGATCCCCAGGTGCTCATATAATGACACTCTGGATGATTAACACAACCTCTGACCCTTTTTCCCCCTTTAGTTTAGAACATTTGGTTTGATGGGAGGCACTGTCTTGCTTATAAGTAGGAGAGTTAATAAACTTTAAAGGTGACTAATTAAAAAATGTTTTTCCATCACTTCCTCATCTCTCCAGAAAAGCCCTTGACTTGTAGCTCTTTGCTAAGAGATGTGACGCTTCCAAATCATATAAGGAAAAACCAACCTAAAAAGCTGCTCCCAAAAGAGTTGTTTCATTCCATGTAATAACCATTTGTTGAGTAAATGCAGTTTGCAGATGGAGAATCTGTGAAACAGGAAACCCATGTGGCTTCTTGACTGTATACTTCTCACTCTGTAGCAGGCATTAGATGTCAGTGTTGGCATCACAGGCCTGAACAGGATTTCACAGGTTAGTTGTGTGTCTCAGTGCTGGGTTAATAGTCCTCAGTAATAAAAACAAGTCCTAGATTCCAGTCAACCCATTTTTAAATTAATTTAATGAATTGACTTGAACTAATTGTGTGCTAAAGAATGAATAAGTTACGAGTTTGACCATGATCTCCCTGCTAGTGCATATGGGAGCTAAGTTGCAAGCCAGTCTGTCTGATGCAGAGACCCTTTTTAACTATGTATTCCTGGAGCATTTCTACTGGGGTGAGGTATCAGAATGACTGTTGATTCCTTTTCCTTGCCTCCTTCTACACTTCTTCTTAGGTATGAGGAGAGGAAGTTGTCAGAATATGATAGTCTGTGTGACCTGTTACGAAAGTGATTAGTTTATACAAGTCAGTAATTTTTTCTGTTAATATTTGGATCAGTAAACTCCAACATTTCTGACTAATTTTTCTTTGATACTTGATGTATGGTGTGTGTGTATGTGTGTGTGTGCACTCGCGCTCACGCACGCACGGGCATATGTGGAGGTCATACATCAACCTGGAGTGTTTTCCTCTCTCAACCCCCACCTTACTCTTGGGAACACTGTCTCATTGAACCTGGAACTCACCATTTTGGCTAGGCTGGCTGCTTAGAGAGCCTGCTGGATCAACCTATCTCTGTCTTTCAGGTCTGGGTTACAGAACTGTGCCACCACTTCTGGCTTTAGACAGGCTCTGGGATCTGAATCAAGTTATTGTGCTTGTATAGCAAGTCCTTTACCCATGGAGATGTCTCTTCACCCCCCACACTTACACTTTTACCTTAGATTTTATTCCTTAGCAAGCCTTTGATTAGTCCTCATGAGATGTAACACATTTGACCGTCAGGATAGTAACTGTCTCAAGTTCACCTGATTTTACAGACTATTTCATTTCAATGCTCTTCTTTCCCAGCATATAAACTCATTAAGTTGTTATAATTTTGAATAATGAGGGAAGAGGAAGGGGGGAGAGAGAGAAAAATCTAAGAAACAATGTCCATGAACTTCTTGTTCTTTGGTTGAGCTTGGAGGTATTGTCAGGTTACGAGCAGGTGAATCTGTGCCAAGTGCCTGATTAAAAAGGCACTCAGAATGTAGGTCATGTAAACTATTGCTCTTAAACTGGGCTTGTCTCTGAAGTGATGATATCATGTGTTATTCCAGCTGGAAGCCAGAGTTAGTAATCAGGCAAAGTTAATTTAAGACTGACAATTTTGTTTCTTAGTGTGTTGTGGGTCTACCAAAATGTTGGAAATACAGTCTTTATGCCAGTAGTTGTAGGAGGGTTTTCATTTAGTGAAAAACAAGAGTAGGCTAGTCCTTCTGGTTTTCTTGACCAGAAGAGGAAATAATTATGTGTCTTACTACACTGAACCTGCTGTCCTTAGCCTTTGCTCTTGGTGCCATGCTGGCTACACCAGAGATAGATAAGATTATTATTTCCTTTTTCATTATTACACATCTATAAGGTTTTAGGAGTGCTATGAATCCAATTCAATGTCTTACATATACTAGGTAAGGACTTTACCACTGGGCCACACTCTTAGACCTAACATCTGAATGCCTAAGAATTATAGGAAATAACATTGTGTAATGGAGTTTCTTTCGGCATTATCTTCCCTTGGAGAAAATGTCTTGCTTACATCCATTTATAGAACATTTTAGATTTAATTTACAGGCATGGTTTCATCTTTTAAATATCACTTATTTTTTGAAAGTTCTATATATTTATACACTATCATATCATCCATGTTATCATTCTCCAATTGCTGTGAGTGGCTCTTATCCCATCTCCCTTTGAGAGTCCTGTATTTTCTTTCTTTCTTTTTTTTCTAGACAGGGTTTCTCTGTAGCTTTGAAATCTGTAGACTAGGCTGGCCTCAAACTCACAGAATTACACCTGCCTCTGCCTCCTAAGTGCTGGGATTAAAGGCGTGTGCCACCACTGCCCAGCTGAGTCATGTGGTTTTGTGTTGTTGTCAATTACTGTTGTCCATATGCACATGGGTGTGTGACCATCCACTGGGTCACAAACAACCTACCTGCAGCCACATCCTCAAAGGATAACTCTCCCTCCTACAGCAGCCATCAGCTGCCAGTGCCTCCTCTGGTCAGGGTGGAGCCTCATGGACCTCTC